AAAAAAAAAAAATTAAAAAAATTGTATCAATCAATTAAAAGAATAGCAATAAGTATGGACTTTGAGTGAGATAAAAAAAAAGGGGGTTTAACATAAGTTTTTCTATTACAAAGATTTTTTTTTTTAAAGCACTTGCTGTGTGTCGAACCCGATACCTTCCAGTTACCAGGCAATTGCCTATCCACTAGACTAAATTAAATGTGTCACACTGCCAATCTCTATGTATTTTTTCATATTGATACTTATTGTTGTAGATGTAGCAAAAGATGTATTCTAACGACTAAGTAATTCAAAAAGTCGCCCTTAAAAAAAAAGAAAAGAGTATCACATGTTATTTACTCCTTTGTTTAGAAGGTGGGGGGTGACCCCTTTAAAAAAGAGATGGAAAGTCAGTATCATGAGGTGAAGAAAAATAATAATAAAAAAAATAAAGGAGAAGCTGGGAGTCGAACCGGATACATTACATTGTGATGCGATCAGTCTTATCCACAAGACCACTTTGCCTCAGTGCCATTCTCTGGTTCGTTTGTTGTTAACACTTTCTGCATGTTAATGACTTTACAAAATATGCCGATTTACTGATTTCACGCTTTCGGGAGGCATATTTATTATTATTTTTGTAGTCCGATGTTGTCAAGATTGCCCCTAATTTTTTTCTTTCAGTTACTGATATATTAGGGATGTTTTATGTTATTTTCATTTATTCTGCAAACTACTGACTTTAACTTAAAGTGATATGACAATAGGTTACTGCCCTGACATAGCATGATGAATAGAACACGGGTCTATTAATTTAGTATACGCTACGAATTCTATAAAAGGGCACCAATGAATAAAGGAAGCTTGGCTTTTCAATAGCTTGCACCTGCAATTTTTGAATAGTTACGTAACAAACTACTCAGCTCTTTCAGATATGGCATCAATTAATGAATTGAAGAAAACAAATCCGACCCTCCCTTCAAATACGTGGATTACCAAAGAGGTAATAATAGCATTCCTGACATTGCAACAATGACAGCATTATTTTAAAGTATTGTCTCTAAAGGTAGCATACTGAATAAGCTATTTATCCTTGTCTGAGAGGACAAGGCCTTTCAATATCCCCATGCATAAGAAAAGAATAGGCTGGGGCTGTAGTCTGATTTCAAGAAAGGAAAACAATTTCGGGACAGTTCAAAATAATGCTTGGAAATGGAAATTCAAATGATACCGTTTTAAAAACCATCAATTATATATGATTTTAGGACAAGAATCAGAAGATTCGTAAATATTCATAATTGAATGACACACGCCCTTAAAACTAAAACAACAACAACAACAACATGATTTTTCCGTAGAGATCAGTGGGTTGTATTTAATACTATAGGAGCAGCAGCAGCTACAGTACCGTACCCTGCCCGGTATCCGCCCGATAGGCAGTTTTTCTTAGATAACTTTTCTGAAAATGAATTATACAGGCGCTAATGTATATCAATTTGTAGCCGAAATTCTAGCGAATCCAACCATGCCATTCTTATGCCTGAAATCGTAAGCAATTGTCCGTAGTGCGCCGTCTGCGTGAGGCATTTTCCTTGCCTATTTTCGCCTAGACCTGCCCTAATTCGTCCCGATGGTGGACGCGCATCAAAAGTATAGAAAAGGGAGACATCTCGGGTAAACGTTAGGCCAAATAAAATTGCTTCTCAGTAGAATTTGATCTACATGATATTTTGATAATTGATATTTCTTTCTGTATTTCTTCTTTTGCCTCTGTAGGCCTACTAATAATGTCTGTTCACTGTTATTCACCACTTTCTGATCTGGGAAAATTCTGTAACTGCCTTTCCGGGAAAATCCTGTGACTTGTCTTTAATGTTTTAATAATGGTAATCAGACAAATCTGACTAAAGTCACTTAACATATCGCTAATCATTTTTAAATTAACCACTAGGGTGAAAGAATTTAATTTAAAAAAAAACTATAACCACTATCAAAGTGAACATATTGTAAAAGAAAGTAATGGTGCTTCATTTTTATTTATTTTTAAATGCAAACTATTCTCGACATCTCTCAAATCTTGATTCAAAAATAAATTAGCGTATATTTTTAGGCATAATAATTGGTTGGAAAAAGCATCTAGCAATATTGTCATTAGAATTATCATCATCGCCGACATCGTCTAAATCATCATCATTACAATTTTAGGGTATATAGGTCTATAACGCAAATGTGGTTTCCTTTTTGATTATTTGTTTAAGACTTCAAGTTGTTGTGTTTTTTGTTTTCCACTTGTTCTAAATTATGCAGTATTATATTTTGATAATGCATTCAATAATAATTATAGCCAACTTGAAAGACAAAACTTTCCGAAATGATCTTAAAAACGAAGTTGTCGATTCACTTCCATAGAAAGTCAGGGTTTTTTTTTTGCAAAATAATGTAGTATAATAATTAATGCAAAAGGAGTGGTGGTAGGGGGGGGGGGGTCACCAGTCACGTTTTTGCCACTTCAACATCCAAAGAGGGTTGAAAGCTATTGTATAAGTATTTTGTTGACATTACCGAGAACAACTCAAATCATGTCCTGCAATGTATTGCCCTTCTCTAAATTTGGCACTATACCCCCTCCCCCACATCTTCTACATAATTCATCTATTTATTTATTCATTCAATATTCATTCATTTTATTGCCGAGAGATATTAATGTGATGGATAGAGATAAAAAAATGTTCACCTTTTATTCGCCATAAAACTTTAGCAAACTAACAACGTATATAAGAATTACCCTAGCCATTTGAAAGGCTGACAGGCGTATAGGCCCTTGTGAAATGTATCATTTATAGTTTTATACTACTCTTTCGATAGCCATTCATATAGGTTTATTTCACATAAAACAACATTTATTTTATTCACAGTCAGCTGACGGAAATTTGATAGCAGCGAAAATGTCATGGTCCGTGTTGGCAAAAATATATAACACACAAACATTTGAAAAAAGATATTATAGCCTAATGTATAGAAGCACTAAGAAAAAGGATGTAAAAGTGAAGAGGGAGACTAAAAGAAAAATCGGGGAAAGGAGGGGTGTAATCGAAGAAAATTGAGGGAATAAATTAAACTAAATTAATTAAAACAAAAACTAATACATGCCTGCATCCTGTATCGTATCAGAAACAAGCACTCTTTTCGCTACAAAGCCACGACGCTGGATTGAAAGGCGACACAAGCTTCAGCGACATAGAACATAAATACAAACTTTTTGCAAATCTACCAAACCTGGCAACTTTTTTAAAAGCCGGACTTAGTTGTCATCGGGATCACTTTTGGAGAACCGAACTTCAAGCATTTTTTGCAACATTAATCAATCATATATAATTTTGTCACAAAATTTAACTGCATGATTATCACATTACCACATCGTTACCAGAAATTGTCGGTTCCTCGATCGAACGAACGGCCAAACATCATTGCAACATTCTTCGGGGGGGGGGGGGGGTTCAATCTCAGCCTCCCACCTTATTCGCCTACCATTACCCCCCGGAAAACTACCCCCAAAGATAATTACCCCTAAGGACAATTACCGTGCCTCGACGAGCTACCCCCGGAAAAGAGTCCCCCCCCCCCCACCCCCTGAAACTTAACCCCTATATAGGACAATGCCCCCCTGGGACAACCAAGGACAACCGCCCCGAGGACTACCCCCTGTTCATACTGAACAGGGGGAAGTCAACCTCGATAATTAGTTGGGTAATTTTTAGGGGGAGATCATTAATTTCAGGGGGTGGTAATTGTCCTCTGGGGGTTTAATTGTCCACGGGGGGGGTAATAATTGTCCTAGAGGGTAATTTTTCGGGGGGGAGTAACTTCCTCGGGGTGGTTGTCCTCGGGGGGGGGGGGGTAATCGTCCTTGGGGTAATTATTGTACCGCTAATTGGCCGGGGGTGACATGCCCAAGGGGTAATTGACCTAGAACCTTCAAAGGGCAATAAATAAACAGCTACTCAATTTACACTGAATTTTATTTTCTGGTTGTAAACTCAACAAAAAATGAATGGCCACCTCTAAATGATTATTTTGTAGACCATGCAAGTGAGCCTGCAAAATGTTAAGTTTAGTAGCACGGTTATGATTGCTCATCAAAAAGTGAAACAACATTCCGTCTGGCAGATTTTGACAACTGCATGGCTGTAATCCCAGTAAAGAGTTTTATGCCTGGTGACCATGTTATCTCATTTATGATCTTTCTTTTATTTGCAAAATGTAGGTCAACATATACGGGGGGGGGGGGGTGAATTCCCAATTTACAAACTGTTTATAGGTCGAATGTAGTTTTATAGTATTTGTGTATTCTTCACCTTCTTCATACTCTCGAGTTGCGATTTTATGGAGTAAACCGAGTGTTTTATCATGGGAAAAAGACAATGAAGTGTGCACTTTCAAAAAACCAACCGCAGACCTAAAAACACACAAATAGACTAAAAAACCACGGGCAGATAACCTTTTCTCTGTTAGAGCATAAACAACGCACGGTACATACACTGAACTAGCGCGTGTGTTTGAGTGGGCGGAAATAGGGCAGGGGCATCACAGGGCGACATGGCCGAGTTCAAGCCTCGATAACTTTTTTATAAATAATAATTTTCGCAAGAAATTTGCTCAGGTAAAACATCAGGAATTTAAACTTCCATATCTCTTTAAACAAAAGTAAAATTTCCACCATATTTTTTTTCTGATCGTTTTGAATAGGAACTTGATGTTTTTTAAAAAGGTTGATTCACACCTAAATAAGCGCATAGCTGACTGCTGCACAGTGACGTCATTCGCGTATCTCCGTTAAATGGGCGATCGACAGTGTACCATATTTCGTGCACATGTTCCTTACAACGTGTATGCTGCTATAGGCAAGTTAGTCGCACGCCTTCATTGCGCACCGTAGAAACTCGGGCGATGGAAGACGGCCGTTGTGTCTAATAAGCCACTGGTAACAGGGGGGCGGTAACTGGGCAGGGTACGGTACCGTGAATCCTTTCTGCATTTTATCGATTGAAGTTTGAGAAGTTTTGAGAAGTCTTTCTAAAGAGAATGGCTACCCCAGTCGTCAGGGCAGATGCACAAGATGATTTAGTTATGGAATTTGAGTGTGAGGAGGATGGCAGTTGCGGGGAAAGCGGTGAAAATGACAGTGTCAGTGGTAGTAGTGACAGTCCGGACAGTGGCAGCAGCAGTGATACCGACAGCGATGCAAGTGATGCAGACGCCGGAGAACACGGGCGTATCGTCGAGTGGGAGTATGAGCCTTTACCTCGTGGTGAACCTGGGCAAAATGTTGGCGATGCTGGAAGGGCCAACAACGCAAATCGGCTTCATGAAAATGTCGAGGATTGGTAATTAAGACTTATAAGCTTATTGAATTTGTTGTGCATTCTAAATATTTATTCCCCCCAAAAATTGAAATCAAATACCGTAGATCTCTAGACTCGGTCATAAATGGCATGTCTAATTCTAAAGTTAACTTGTTAGAATGATTCTCTAGATCTATGTCTGCGCACCTAAAATTCGACCTCGATTTCATTACACAGTAAGATATTATTTTTAGAATCATCATTGTTATTCCGTTCTTCATATTCTAATGATTACTGAAACAAAAAAACTCGACAAATTATTCACAAGAACAATTTTTTTTAACGAATTTCAGACGGGCTCGTCATTTTGTGTAGCAAAACTGAAAAGTGCCCATGTCTGCGCACTCACTATTTTGCACGCAATTCAATCAAGCACAGTGAAGTTTCATACCAGGGACAACCCCCTGTTCAGACTTTTCTTTTTTGACAATGATTGAAATTTTCAGGGTGGCAAATGAAACTTGCTAAAACTCATTTTTAATCTTCCCAATTATTTTCACAAATTTTGGTATCTAAATGAATTGTTGAGGTTAAGATTGAAAATTGGTGTCAGTTTGATGTTTTGTTCTATAAATATCGCGCATTTACGTGGGTGCGCAGACATAGGCACTGCCTTGGGCACTCTTACCATACTACGACTACGAGAACGATGTCATTTTTATATTTATCAGGAAGCTGTAATAAAATATTTATAAAATTATAGTAGGTGTATTGATTTTTGTTTGAATCTTTCTGTATTTCAAGGTGTACATGTGGAAGATGTCGTGTGCCTCCATCTTTCAATGAAGGTGATTGTGTCTGTTGTCATGAAATTGCAGAGGTCAAGGCAGAGGCTGATCGACAGGGTTCAAGTTGTCTGGTGGATTCTGAGGAGTTTGAGCCGGCCATCCTAAATGCGACAACATTATACATCGGATGGATGGAGTACACAGATAGGTGGCGCCGAGCAGCCAAAGCATTTGGGGACAGGAACAATGAGTAAGTTATGTTTCTCCTTTTCATCATTTTGGCAAGGGCAAAAAAATAAATGGATTGATTTTGAAAGTTTATTGGGTGAAACTTTTCAAAACGAATTGAGCCACCGCCAGATGAATTACTAGTTTTGACCAAAATTCTTGCCTGGTGACCACTGGTGTACTAGCTGCCTTATCTGCAGGTGCTTCGGGGCACTTTTTCAGGAAATGTATACAAATAGGCAAGAATGACCACCGATTTGTGAGTTTTAGCATGTTACCCCCCCCCCCCCCCCAATAATCTGTAGTTATGAAACACAAACTTTATATGCGATTTTGAATGTTGCCCCCCACCGCCCGACAAACAATGACTAACCCTTGGTCATTTTAGTTTTTTTTAATCATTTTTATTTTCCTGAATTAATTAATAAAGAATTAATATTTTGACATCAAATCATCTATCCTAAGAAAAATAATGAAATTTTTTTATTGCTTTTTATTTTACAGAAAATACAGGTATGTGGCCTACAGGAAAGTCGTGAGATGGTGTTGGGGCTGGCTCGGGAAGGACATCAGGGTGCAACTGCCAGCATGTGTCCATGCCTCAATAATGGAAGCGTATCCTGATGGACGTGGTCAGTACAAAGGGACCATCCTGCGTCGGTTGAGATGAGGATGTAAAATCAACTATTGTCTTGCGAACTTTGAATGACTGTCATCTTCTATGTGATTGTCAGCCATCTTCTGTACGTTATTTGTGATCATCGGCTTTCATCTTCATATTCATATTCATCACAAATACTATTGTTTGAACTTCTCATGATGGTATGGTTGCTATGAACTTTGATCTCGACATTTGATTCTAATTTCCAAGAGCTGATATTCGAACTTTTGCAAAACTGTGATCAAGCAACGATTTCTTATGAGGAAGAATGTTGAAATCTATATAAACAAGCAACAACAAAAAAACAAAAAAAAAACACAACATGCCTTGTTCCTTCTTTTTTGTTATACACCCTGCAATGTAATTTGTTTTAATAATTTGAGCATTTCATATACAGTCAACCTGCCGAGTCAGAAAAGGGGAGAGAAAGAGAAAATGAAATTGAAAGAGAAAACGAAATTGAGAGAAAGAGAAATAACAGCATGGACACAACAAAGATAGACAGAGAAATAATGAGAGTAAGAGAAGGGAATTGCGGTTGACGAAATTTCAAATGTGTGATAAATGGTAAGCATCGTAATAAATCCAGGAAATCCTTTATTTTGCATCAAATCTATCCTCCCAAAAAGGATAAACCTTAACCCTATCTCCCGCTCTGTCCCTCTTCCTCTCTCTTTCTCCTCTTCCACCCTCCACATTCCCATCTCTCTATCCCACTTCCTCTCTCTGTTTCCTCTTCCATATTTCCATCTCTCACTCTGTCCCTCCTCTCTTTCTCCTCCTCCACATTCCTATCTCTCACTCTGTCCCTCCTTCTCCTCTTCCACCCTCCACATTCCCATCTCTCACTCTGTCCCTCCTTCTCCTCTTCCTCCACATTCCCATCTCTCACTCTCTCCCTCTGCCTCTCTTTTCCTCCTCCACCCTCCACATTCCCATCTCTCACAATCTCTCTTTCTCCTCTTCCATCCATCACATTCCCATCTCTCACTCTTTCACAATCTCTCTTTCTCCTCTTCCATCCATCACATTCACATCTCTCACTCTATCCCTATTGGTATCTATCTTTACCCCTCTTCTTCCTTCACATTCTCTATCTCACTCTCATTTTCACAGCAATTTCCATCTTTCCAAAAATTAGTTCATGCTCTGATTTCCTCCCGTCTTGATTTTGCCAATGCCCTCCTAATCAATCTACCCCAGAATCCAGTGTCCAAGCTTCAGAAGCTTCAAAACGCTGCAGCTCGTATTGTTTCTCTGACCACCAAGCGTACCCACATTTCCCCAGTTTTGCAGTCGCTACACTGGCTCCCAGTAAAAGATCGCATTGTTTTCAAAATTTTGTTGCTCACCTTTCATTGCGTTCACGGCTCTGCTCCTCAATACCTTATCTCTCTAATCCAAAACTACACTCCTGCAAGACCTCTACGCTCATCCACTTCCAATTTTCTTGTAACCCCCAAAATTACCAAAACGTGGGGGGAAAGATCTTTTGCATACTCTAGTCCTAAATTATGGAATGGCCTTCCTGAAGACATCAAAAAATGTTTATCCTCTGATTCTTTCAAAACTCATCTCAAAACATTTCTTTTCAAGTCTTGATCTTTTTTCCTGTTTACACGCGCCTTGAGCACTCCACAGAGTGGATTTGGCGCGATATAAGTTACATTATTATTATTATTATTATTATTATCTGTAAATTATGAAGCTTCCTACAAGACACCTATAATAGAAATAAACAAACAAGATTTGTGTTCCTTTAGATGAATTTTTGTTTACCTTTGCTCAAAATATTCTCAGAACATCCCATTGACGGTTTTTCCCCCCAATCATTTTCTTCTCTGTTTGTGCAATATATTTCAAAATGATGCACCATTGGAACAAAAACTTTGATGCAACATGTACATTACATTCATCCTTATTTTATGTAAAGTTTACAGAATAGATGACTATTTTTATTATATCTGCAAGGATGATTATTTTTCAATCTTTTATAACCAGGTTTTAGGACAAACAGGAAACCGCTGTTAGGAAAAAAAGTATGGATGCGATGAAGTATCATCACAATGTTTCCTCTTCTGTGATAATATGGCATGATCTTTAAAACTACTAACTTTGAAAATGAATAACACAATTCACCTCGGCAGAAAAGGGAAAAAATCAAAAACAAAAAATAAAGTCATATCTGGTGCAATACATCAAATGGTTCTTGAATAAGAACAGTTTAGATGAAGAAAAAAAATGCATTTTTTTATTTTTTGCAAATAAGAAGCAAAAAGCATTGGCCAAGATGAAGGACTGTGAGAAAAATCAGATTATATTTGGTGCCAAATTCATGATCAACAGTGATTTACTTAGTGTTTATGGAAATCTAGTGCATATGCTTCAGAAATTGTTTTTAATTGAACTAAAAATGTAAGTTTTACAAATTTAATAAGTATTTTACCTATTAAAACCAATGACTATTGATGTGTACCATGGACTTTGGCTTGTGTAAGTATGTACAAGCTTACAGACAAGTTTATAGTGCTTTACACTCACATAGAATCGGAATCCACTACTCACTTGCAAAGAGTACTTCCATGTTACTCTCCATAATTATACTGGCATAAACATAATTTAGGGTCTATGAAAAACATGTATTGTACTGAAATAAAACAATCAGTGGTTAATGTTCAGGTAGCTGACACATTCATCATAGTTTCTATCACCAAAAGAACTAGTTTCTATCGCCAAAGCGATGATGTTGTTCAAAAGCTTGCACGGCTTCTCCATTGTCGGGGTGATGATGAGAGGCACTCCGTGCTGGTTGAGGCTGTAGCTCCTCCATGTTGTCTCTGAGCTGCTCCCTGTTTTCCACCAGTTCTACGACAACTCTCATCAGGGCTTTCACATAACCTACAAGATAAAATCCAAAACTATACCTTGAAAATTCATCTATACGGTGTTAAAAAAATACACTTTGATAAGAGGAAAAAAGGAAAAGAGAAAAATAAGAACATAAGAGAAAACTCTTTTTCTCACAAATATTGAATTACCTAATTTTACACACTATTTGTAGGTGGATGACCAATCAAATACCAATGGCATGCACATGTTCTTTGCTGAATAGGTAGTTCACTGACTTGGGGACTGACATATATGCCTGTTTCTGCTTGCTATTCAATATTACACATTTGCAGAAAGTAACCCAATACATGTTTATAATTATCAATTTAATCAACAGATTAAATTAAGGGCATATAGGCCACAAGAATCTACTAATTTGAATTCTATTGATCATGAAGTAATAAAAGATTTCTATATATAATTGAGCTCTTTTGTTGAATATTGATATCATTCACTAGACATGTGGCTACTTACCACATGTGCCAGCTGTCAGCACTCTCTCCACTGTGTGGCCTCCTTCCTTCGAGCGTGGATACTTCAACCTGTACACTGGGTTCCCTTCGGCATCAACAGCCTGGGCTCTATCACAATTTTCGTTCCAATGTAGGACAGCCAAATATAATCTGAAAAGAGTGAAGTTAAAAATAAAGGTCACATGAATAACATACTTGTGACAGTTGATTTTATCTTTTTGGTAATGTAATGTCTATCATCATAAACTCGTTACCTACTCTCCAATAAGTGAAGGCAAGAGTTAGTGTAAAAAGCATGTGTTACAAATAATAAATAAAAAAAATTTAAAAAAAACCAACAAAATATGAAATAGAAAGAACCTGGCTATAACAAAAAGAAAATAATAACTTTAAAACATAAAACCAATAAAATCAAATTCAAAAGAAGAAGAAGAAGAAACAACACTGCCCTCTGTGACGTTCTTGTTAAATTTATATTAGGGGAGCATAATGTTGATGAATTAATTGCCTAATTTACCTGCACTTCATCCCTTGATATGAGTATACAAGCAACTTGGGGCAAAAGTGAAGGAGGATGTTGTGGAATGATTCAACCTTGCTGGTTTGGGCATGTGGGGACATCATCCCAATGCCGTTCACCAGTCTGGTCCTCAGCCATTCCTCTCGAAGCTTGTCGTACACCTTTGTACCTGTAATAAGATTGGGAATATAATATATGCGGTAAAGGTGAAGGAGAGTTCATTTAAATAGTTAGCAATCATGATCTCGGCATTTCCAAGCATCTCATCCCTTCGCCAAAACTATTTTTTCATTCCACAATGAATATTAATCATTTAGAAAATTGCAAAAAAAAAAATATGAATGTCATGATCAAAATTGAACTAAATTAAACTTGAATGTACATTATTAAAATAAATGTAAATATTTTGCTCGCATTTTGACAAACATCTTCAAAGTAAATGAGGGTGAAAAATGTACACCGTATGCATATAAATAAGGATTTTACCCACATCCAAACAAAAAGAACAACTTGAGGCACCAGTGAAGGGTTAACTGTTTTATTTCCACTGAAGTAAATTGTTATTTAAAGATCATACATAAGTAGCTTACCTGACTGCAACCATTCTCGCTCTGGATAGTCATCACCATGTTCACAAGCAGTGTACTCTGGGTTTTCATCTGTGTGAAGATTTCTGATGTGGTTCATAGCCCTCTATACTTGGCTTTCATGACATCCTTATCTCCATCCGGAGTAGAAGAGGCAGTCCAGTATACATGGTTTACCAAGGCCCTCAACCAATCTTGAACCAATCCACAGTCCTTCATCTTGGCCAATGCTTTTAGCTTCTTCTTTAACCCTATTATATACAGGCAGAAAAAAAAAAACAAGGAGCAAGAATTAGCTAAAAGAGATCAATTGACAATTCAATATGTGACATATCAAGGAGCTACTTGGAGTGTTCTAAATTTAGAAAATATATCATAATTCAATAATTACTATACACAAAAGTGGAAATATAGGCAAATTTAAACCTGCAAAAGTAGTCATAACTACAATATCAATTTCAGCCAACATGTATATAAGATACATTTGCTGGAATTAATTCAGTATATATATAATAATTACCTTTCGCAATGTGCCAGACATCATATCGGTGATCAATTTGTTGGTACGTCTCACGGAGAAACTTCGCTATCTGCATGTGACGATCTGTCACTATGCCTTGTACAATCACACCAGCATCGTCAAGTATCCGCAGGCCCCTCCGGAGTCCCTCTAGCTCCATTGCATTTGAGTTCTTAACCTCTGTACACTATAAAGGAAAAGAATAAAATAATGGTAAATAACCTTAGAAAAGTACAAGGTTCTCTGTAATACAGTATAATAAAGGAAGTATACATTCATGGTTGCAACAGATCTGTTAAAAAACACACTGGAGTTAGTGACAGGCGGATTCCATATAATTACGTCTGCAAAATTTAACTTATAATGAAGAAAAAGGAAACCTAAATGAGTAATGATCACAATATGCATGGCAAAAACTTTTCTATTATGTACGTAGTTACTACACGATATGTCCAATTTCAGGCATATGATGACCTCTGTGGTTTTAACCTTTGCACTACATACATTAAAACATTTCTGCTAAATCACTCACTTGCACAAGCTGGACATCAATGACCTTGTTGCTCTTCAGGTCCATCATCGTGTACGAGCCGTACTTGGCAGAATGCCCAGGTGAGTCACTCCTCCCATCCCCTCCAAGGATGAGGCCCGCTTCACTCGCTCTGATCTCGTCAAATGTCTCTGCCTGGGTCCTCCTGTATTCTTTCACTATTGCTGGCTGAAGATATCTAGACTGGTGTTCGTTGAATGTTGTTGTCGAAATTGATATTAAGTTCATGTGTTTGTGAGTTTTGAGAACCTTTGTTGGGCTCGCACCAGCAAATAAAATTGCAGATGACAAAAGTATGTTGCCAGCATACAAATTTCCCACTGATGGCTGGGATGACCATTCAAATTTCCCGTCACATTCGTCACATGTGGAGATCACTTTGACTCTACTGCCAAATGTCGGTGGGTGATGAACTACTGAAGAGCAGGGGAGGTGGCAATGCCTGCATTTTTTGAAGAGCTCCAAAAGCTGATCCTCAAAAACAATATACTTGGGCTGATCAATTATATCGGATGGTATTTTCCTGTATGAAACAAACAAGACATCCACATACATTGTAAGTTTCACTACTATTTTCATAATAGAAATGGGTAAAAGCTACATCCCTAAATGTATATAACGAACAGCCCTTGCTACTTTGAAAGTGTGCAAATTAACTTCCAAAAATATGAGGCTTAATGGTTAATCTTCATTTATTTCCATCAATCAAAGATGTTAACATAAAAAATTAAAGAGTAATTTCCAGATATATGTACTTGATAAATATCATCTTATAAAAATAATGGATCAATACTTACATGTTCTCAACTTCTTCATTAGCTTCATCCTCCAATTCATTTTCGGGTTCATAATCTGGATCTTTCCGCTTGTCATCGGGTTCTTCAGGTTCTTCATGTTCATCTTCTGGCTCATCAAAAGTCTCCTGTTCTGCACCAGTGTCCTCAGTTTGGGTTGCTGATGTCCTCATCGAAACTTGTCTCTCTGCCTTCTCCAAGCTAGAAGAAAGTGTAATCTGTACTCCTTTTTCAAGAAAAACAACATATTGATACAAGATTTGAAAATTAGGGTTCTTGCCATATTTTGTTAGGGGATCTAAACCACAGATCTATATAGATTTTGCCTTTTCTATTTTGGGGGACCCAAAGGAACTTAGGACCTATTAGGGCACACTTGATGTAGGAACCTTCTCTCCTGTGATTCCTTATTCTTTATCAACTTTTGCTTTATAATGCAAAACTTATAATTTTCAGGTTTCATTTTTCACAAAATATGTTTGAAATTTTGACAAAAATAACCTCATGATTTATAGATCTTGTGCACAAATTTAACATTTTGGCAATAGACTTGTGGTCTTCCGTCGTGACACGAGTGCAGAAATACCCAATCATAGTAAATTTTAAATTAACATTTATTCATTTATCAATTTCGATAATGTGACATAATTCATGAAAGAGAATACAAGGTACATTAGTTACATTTTTCTCCTTTTTTGTTCCGCAATCTATAAATACATTATGTTATAACACAAATATTGTAAATACACATATCATACTGTACTTCACTCACCTTTCTCTTTTTGTAAAGGCTTGACAGGCTTGACAGGTTTGACAGGCTTCACAGGTTTAACTTGTATTCCACAGGTTCGAGTTTTAGGTCTTTTTTGAAACTGCTTATCAATCATCTGAGGAATGAATTTGCATTTGTGATAAAAATCACAAAGAATGAAAGCAAATTAAAAATAAAATAAGCTTAAAAAAAGGTTTTAAATACATATCATGTGGGTCAGCTGAGAACTATGTGAATAGTCACAAATGTTGACAGCAGTTGGTTACTGCGTGTATGTCAGACAAGCAACTTGTCTAACGATGAATTGAGAATTAGAAGTCTGATACATCATAAACACTTTCAATAGACCTCATTTATACTTGACAAAACCTCATATGTCCCACTGACACTGCAATGCAATGAAATTCTTGTGAGCAATAGCATGGGATTCTGACAGCAAAGAAATTTCTCCCAAATAAGACTGATCAACAATATTTTGGTGCTGGTTCAACATCATTTTTTATTTAATTTGCCTCAAATACATTGTATTCTATTGATCTTTACAGGTACAGAAAATGTTGCCACAACTTGTTGTTCTTGTTTATTGCACAATATTTGCGACATGATATTAGGTTATTTACTCACCGTGGGAGATGCCTGGATAGCTTTATTGTTTTCTCGGTCCCTCCTAGCTGCTTCTTCTGCTGCTTGTTGTGCTGCTTCTTCCTCTTCCTTACGAGCGTATTCCTCAGTTATCCTTTGAACCTCCTGCAATCATGGAAGAATAATAGTAAGTCATAATATTTTTAATGCAATTTTTGTTTTCATTGGGTGGATGGCTCTGTTTGAAAGGTGCTAAAGGATGTTTTGGGAACTATAATTTGTAGTTCTTATGAAGTGCATAATGAGTATTAAATTCGGTATCAATTTTCATGTTTGAGTAATAGTACCGGATATTCAAACTGGAACATTTGGATATAAAGCCAATTATACAAAATCTGTTTGTGAAGTGAATTGATTTTTGATATTGGAAAATAAGAGAAGTGCTAAAACTGCTTATCCAATAAAGGAGAGCTATTAGAGTAAAATGAAGCCAAAAGTTGCAATGAAATCGATATTTATAATTTAAAACATATGACAAGACAAAAAAATAATATTGCGCATGTACATGTAGGCATAATGGTATACATCTGTGTTACACATACCTTCTTCAGACTGAGCACAGACACTCGACGTCTGTTTCCACTGGTAGTTGGCATTGTTGGTGATGTACACGTGCTTGCATCGGCAAAAGTAATTGGTTGATTATGGGCATGGCCTCCTTGTTTACCCACACGTTTCTTCTGGCTGTCTAGAGAGGACACTGCTATCTTTGTAGAATGGACAGTTCTGGTTCTAGTCGAGCTCAAGCACGTTGTTACTGTTAGCGTAGACGTTATTGGTGTTGACGTTGTTGGTGATGAAATCATTGGTGATGACACTGTTGGTGAAATCATTGTTGATGACACTGTTGACGTTGATGATGTTGTCGTTGTTGGTTTGAGGAACCAATGATCTGTAAAGGGTTGAACAGCCTGCTGCCGACGGGGAATGGCATTTGGTAGAAGGCGCGGCGTAATTTTCCTGAAGCCATACTTAAACTTCAAGACTTGAGACGAATCATACTGGTCTCGCTCAAAATGACCACTGCAGACATGGACATGGACCCTTTCTCGGGCATCGAACCCTTTTAACTTCAGTTGAATGAACTTCACCCATGCTCGCCTGATGGATCCTTCCTTCGGTAGTTCATGTATGGCAAAGCCATCATGAATAGTGTTGCTGCACCCATACAAGACACACCGGTTTCCCCCAACAGGCTTCGGCTTCTTGCTGGGCTCACCTTCCTCATCTGTGTTACTCCGTTTTGACATGCTGATAACTGCAATCTATAAAAAGAAAACAATACACCAATATTACAATTGATAGAAGATTAAAATGAATATAAATATGTCAAAGATCTACATGTACATTTACATCTAGACTTATAAAGTCGGGCAAGATAAAAATTAGTACGAATCCTGTGATTCCTTATTCTTTATCAACTTTTGTTTTGTAATGCAAAATTTATCATTTTCAGGTTTCATTTTTCACAAAATATGTTTGAAATTTTGACAAAAATAACCTCATGATTTATAGATCTTGTACACAAATTTAAAATTTTTGGCAATAGACTTGTGGTCTTCCCATTTAGAATTAGCAATGAAATATTGCAATGATTTAAAAACTCATCTCTAATTGTAAGATCTTCTTTTCAAAGCTGCCTTGACAAAATAAAACTGTCAAATTTAACCATATAAGACTTTCAGAAGAGAGATGTGGCAGAGACAATAAGCAAGATCAAGATAAAATGGCAAAATAATAAATGATCTATAACATTAACATTGCTATTAAAGTTAGACAAAAGTTAGTTAAACTTAGTTTCATAGAAAAAAAAAAGCAAAGTTAATCTGTAGTCGGATAAAAAAAAAGAAGCAAAGTCAACAACAAATGACCGATGATTTTGTGTTAATAATCATCCCTGGCAACAACACTAGATCTAGACCATTTTGATTTGAATAAAAACAGTGTTTTCATCACGAGAAAGTATCAAGAAGAGGCACCCATGTGATTTCTGACATCAATTCAAAATAATTTAGTTCCTGCACTGTTAAAAAAATTCTCCATAAAAATACAGAAAAGTGCCTGCAGCAGAGTCTCGAGAACTCCTGTAATTTTACAGAACTTTGTTATCACAATTCACAAGTCATCAGTTTTTTAACAGCAAATATGGAGGTGATAAATACAAATTTCCTGTTTTTTATATATATATTTTTCCAGAACTCTAGAGAACTCCAGTTTTTTTTACACCATATTTGTAACCATAATTTAAAGCTGATCTGTTTAATAACATACAATCTGTAAGTGATTATAACATTTCATTTTTGTATAAAAAAAAGACAGAAAAGTGTCTGATTCAGGGTTTACAGGAATCCTTTAGCTTTGCCACATTTTTCTTTTCACAATTTACAATTCATCTGTTTTTTAGCCGCAAATCTGCATATGATAAATGAAATTTATTCTTAAAAAAACAGAAAGATAACTTGCCGAACTACAAGGAACTCCTGTAATTTTGCAGCAGATCTACTATCAAAATTTACAGCTCATCTTTTTAATAACAAGCCATCTGTGATACATGAAATTTATCTTTAAAATAAAGACAGAGGAGTGCCTGAATCAAGGTTTACAGGAGTGCTTTAATTTGACTACATATTTCTCTTCAAAATCTAGTCCATCTGTTTTGAAACAGAAAATCGGCATGTAAAAAAAAAAATGAATACAAAATAAACAAAAATAAAAAATAGAAAAATTATAACGGAATGAAAAAATAATAAAAAGGGCAGGGTGCTTGCAGAAGTCTCGAGAAATTCTGTAATTTTATAGCATGATTCATAATTTACAGCCAATCTGTTTTATAACATTTGTGTGTAATAAATGAAATTTCTCATGAAATTATTTAAATTATATCCTATAGAAATCCTACAAACATGTTCATGAAAAATCTGTAAGACCTTAATGCTAGAGTGTGTATGTACAAGTTACCATCAAAACACACACTAAAAAAATAAATCTTGTGACTGCTGCAGGCACCTGCTTTAATTTTACAGATACACAAGTCAGTCAAACAAACAACTGCAACATTTTGTAGTTTTTCAAGGGTTTATTTATCATTACCAATTACAAACATGTAAATACTGATCTGCAAGGAGCTTAATCAACAGTAAAACAATAAAAGCAAACTTCAGTAAGTAGCAAATATATCAAATGTAACAAAAACTATATGGCCTAACAAACAACTGCAACATTTTGTAGTTTTAAAAGGGTTCATTTATCATTACCAATTACAAACATGTAAATACTGATCTGCAAGGAGCTTAATCAACAAGAAAACAATAAAAGCAAACTTCAGTGAGTAACAAAGATATAAAATGTAACAAAAAACTATATAGCCTACGGGGTGCCCCCCCCCCCCCCCATGATATGAAATCGTAAAGAGTCATGTTTAACCGAGGTATATCATTTATTGCTAATTCATGATCGACATGCCACCACTTCTGGCGCAGGTGAAATTTTATTTCCTCTCTCTCTCTCAAAAAAAAGGGCCTCCTGTATAGACAAGCATGACATTCATGCTATAAACCTGATAAAATTTATACCAAATAAAAGAGGAAGATACTCTTTTAGGACATACCACAGTCTTTGAAGAATAACATACATTAGAGATTATATAGATTTTTGAAAGTGGACTTTTTTTTTCTGACTCACCCTGTATAGATGCCTAAAGAAAAGGGCACCTGCATTCTTCATTCCTTTACAAAGATTATTTTGGCTCAAACCAATAATGAAAACCTTTAAAATCTGGAGGCATAGAACCTACTGCAACACATGACTTGTATGTGATTGGCATATTTAAACACATACAAAACATAATTTAACACATTTCTAAAAAAATAAATGATTGGCATGATCAGATATCATATTGCAAATAGTGTGAAGTGCAGAAAAATACAAATCACAGTCCAAGGATCATAACATGTCGCTCTTCTGGTTGGGTAGAAGAGAAGCCTTCCAATCAACCATCTAAACCAAATTCTAACGGGATCCCTAAGACCACTTTGAGGTGCTCTTTCAGATGTGCTATAACAATGCTAAAACTGTGCCGGGGGGGGGGGGGTCTATTTCAAACATGTCCATTGTAACATAGAAAATGTAAACAAAATGCACACTAAATCTAACCTGATGATATTTTGATGCAATTCTGCTCGATTTGAGGGTCACACACTCAATGGTCGGAATTCACAAAGGAAGTTTAAGTTTAGACCATGGTTTATGCAGATTTTGTGTATGATTAGCTGACAAAGATCCAGTATAAATGCACGCTTTTGGCAAAGTACTAGAAATTCATGATTTTTGCCATGGTTTAAAGCTATGGTTTAAAATCATAGCAACAAGCATGAATTGAGCGCCCTTTGCTATACAGCGTGCCTTCATATTGGACCTTTCTCAGCATACACGCTAAATTAAGCGCAAATTATACACAAAATCTACATAGACCATGATTTAACCCCCCACAGAGTTTAAAGGAGAATGAAAGTCAGACATTTACATGATTTCAGTGAATGGAGAATACCAATGAGACTTAACAGTAAAAGTTTGAGCAAATTTGGATAATCCTTTTTTGGGTTATGGATTTTTGAAGTTTTAAAAAATCCTTATTATGGACTTCCTTAAGTTGGCAATTCCGCTAGAATTTGTGATGTCATTGTGCTCAACTCTCCATTGGTTATGTACAGAGAGTTTCACAACATTTTATTTTTATAAAATATTAAAAGGGCAATTGTATTGATTCTTTCAGACATACTGCAGAATTGATGTAGCCATGTCATACAAAAACAAAATACACTGGCGGAAATATTATTTTTGATGAAAATTAGAAAAAAGTGAAACTCTCTGTACATAACCAATGGAGAGTTGAGCACAATGACATCACAAATTCTGGCGAAGTTGCCAACTTAAGGAAGTCCATAATAAGGATTTTCTAAAACTTCAAAAATACATAACTCGAAAACGGATTATCCAAATTTGCTCAAACTTTTACTGTTAAGTCTTGTTGTTCTTCTCCATTCACTGAAATCATGTGACTGTCTAACTTTTATTCTCCTTTAAGCCTCCTTTGTGAGTTCGGGCCAAGAATATCAAATTAATATGGCCATCAGTTCTCATGATTGAAGATGGCATAATGTACATTATTTTCCTAAACAGCATACAAATGTCTATTTTTGTTCTCAAAATACCCACTTGCCTCAATGAAAAATATGTACATGTTTCCAATAAAAGATGAAGATGATGTACATAGCATAGCTGCCAACCTTTGAAAACACAAATTAGTACATACTCAGCACCTCAAAAATTTGTATTTTTCAACCGATCCTCTTCTCAACTATTTCAAAATGTAATATTGTTGTATCGCAGTATCGCAGACCCCTGGGTAGCAAAACAAATTTCCTTGCAAGTCACATGCAAGCCTAATGTGACAGGGCCTTAAGGAAATGTTGCTCTTACCAATGGTATTAATAAGTTGATCTGTGTGCTATCAGAAGTGTGTCAGGCATTGTTCATGGGACACCCTGTATATAAAGTTGACCAGGGTAAACACCAACATGGTATAATGTTTGCATACTGTAGCATATATCATCAAGAAAACACTATAAACAACCTTCAAAAGAACAAATATACAAATTATATAGGTATAAAATTATAAATAGGACCTGCTGAGGTTTTCTTACATTACCAACAAAATCTAAAAAACTCACTTTGTTCCTTGGCAAGGACTATCTTGGCTCTTTCCAAAAATCAAAGCCTTTCACATCTGGATGCATACATCCTATACTATACTAATACTTATATATATTTTATTTGCATTATGTTGGGGATGTTGAGAAAAGGCTTTCAAGATGAGGCACAAATAATAGAAATTTACAGGTTTCTTACATCACATTGTCTCATCCATGTATTCGTCACAATAAAAATCGTGCATAATAAAGCACATCTCAAAACAAATTGACAGAAGCATAAAAAATGAGAGCTGGATGTCTGCTACTCTGTTTTCCAGTCAGATTCGAACTCTACGATTCCACGAAGGAGGGCAATTATCTTTGGAGACACGGCCGATTTCTTCTTCTTCTTTCCTCCACTCTTTACTGGACCCCCAGGACTGATGCCAATGAGTTCCCTGAAAATACATACAAACAGAGATGTTATCTTGCAAATTAATCTTCATACTTCTAACTACGCTTAACTTCTCGAAATTTGAATATTGAAACGAAAGAAAATATGTCGACTTGGAAAA